CACAGTATGCCACAGTCATCCTCATCGTTTGCACCTTGCCAGCTGCAGAGGCTGCACAGAGGCTGCACAGAGGTTGCACAGAGGCTGCACATGACGCGCATCCCCTCCCAGTCGGGCGGGGATGTTGATCTGAGCTTCGTCGTTATCATATTGTTTTGCGCGTAAGGTAGCTAACCAAGCTCCGGCCAGATGGTGTGCCGGGTCGAAGAGATACAAATCAGGTGGAGCCATGGGTGCGCGAGCTCGGATGATCCGAGGCTGCAGAGGGGATTTAGAGTGGCTGGACAGAGGCTGCAGATTCTGCTCAATGTGTAAGCTATGAATTGATTAATATGATTATATTCATGCAAGCTTTGCTGCCACTTGCTGCCACTTGCTGCCAATCACTGCCAATCACTGCCAATCACTCCCAATCACTGCCATTGAATATAATCATCCAATCATTGGTTCTAATCATCCAACCAAATAATAATAATAATAATAATAATAATAATAATAATAATAATAATAAATTAATTAAAAAAAAAAAATCATCCAACCATTGCTGCCAATCACTGCCAATTACTGTCAATTACTGCCATTGAATATAATCATCCAATCATTGGTTATCAATTATTATCATCCAACCATTGCTGCCAACCAGTGCCAATTACTGCAAATCACTGCCAGTGATTATGATCATTGAAGCATTGATTATGTACATCTATGTATGATGATGATACAGTGACCGAGGAAGATGGTTAGGGTTTTGCTTCCCTTTTCAAGGAAAGAATACTTCATGCAAGTTTATTTACTGCGATTTCCTTTTCCTTGAGGAGATGCCCAAAAGGATTACAGCAATTATTCATCGCCAGCACGTCTTCCGGCACTTCGTGCCTCTAACCTGCATATTGGGGTACCTACCTATCCTCTTCACCCGAAAAGAACGCACCCACGGTCAATATAGCTGGCTGCTGTATTGGGGGCAACTTTCAGTCTAGATAACAGCGGTAATGACCGTGATAACGACCCTGCGATTCCATTCGCGTGGTGATGGTTGGAAGAAAGGAAGGATCCCAAATCGACAAACATCGCGCGGCGGGTGTGTCCCTAGACACACATCACCCATCTGCTGCCTTTTTCTTTTCTTTTTTGAAGTTTTTTCTTTTTTTCTTTTTCTTTTTTTTTTTAACATTTGGACCATATCTCAATTTAAGCGTGTAAACCTTGCACAGGGCTCGTGCTAACCTTCTCTAGGTCGTTCCAATTTCGACGGATGTCCCGGCGGACGACAAATCTGCATTGCAAAACTTCGACAACTTCGACTTTGACTTTGAGGTCTTAACACATCCTGCTGTTAACTAAAGAATGAATATTCATTTGAAAATTCTTTAGCTGCACAACCAAGATCAATCAGTCTGCATTCCGTTCCTTGATCGTGAATCAAGGGTTGTGTCATGAAGAAGCAGGCTTTGCTCTTTTCTTAAACCCACCACCAAATTCATACATCCAATCCGCATAGGGGTTAACCACCCCCCCCTCCTTAGGGGATAACCCCTAACCCTAGCTCCCAAAGAAGAAACAGGCTTTTTTTGGTGTTCTGGTAGACCCACCCCACCCACCTATTTCTTACGTCCCCACAGCGGCTAACCCCTAACCCTACCGTCTTCACCCGAACAGAACGCCCGCTAATTACTGCCGTATCTGGACTGAAAGTTGCACCAAAAAAATACAGATATAATGACCAGGCATTCTATTCGGGTGAAGACGGTAGTTACCAAACCCCAAAGAACTTCCAGACTGCTCAATCCCAGGCTGACATCCAAATCGAAAATGTTAGCTCTCGCCCAATGGTACCTCGAAAGGCCGATATGTGATGCTCGTCGAGTGCCAAATCCCCACCGGTGTGGGGGGACTGGTTTTCCATCCCAAAAAAAAAAAAAAAAAAAAAAAAAAAAAAAAAAAAAA